TGGGTCAGTTCATTCATGTTGAGCGCCTTGAATCTTCTTCCCCAGTGCCTATCCTCAAAGGGGTTCGGCCTCTCCCAGGGCGACACCCTTGTGTTGGCACCCCTGAGGACATAGTTGCTGCCAATTCTTTAGGGTTCCTGAATAATAATGGAAATCTCGGTTCAGATAAGCATCAAGACAAATCTAAGAGTAAATCTCAGTCGGTGGTGAGTAAATCTGGTGTTCTGAGATCGAATGGCAGTGCGAAAGATGATAAAACAGAAAAGAGAGGGTCAGCATTGGCTAAATCAAAGTCTCATTTGTCTAAGCTGGCATTAACTCTAGTAGTTGACAAGAAGAAGGATTCTTCATTGAAGTCTAACAAGTCCTCTGGTTCGAAATCAATACCTTCTTCTCCAACCAGCTGTTACTCATTACCGAATTCTTTTGAGAAGTTCTCAAATGGGGTCAAGCAGCAGACTAAGATTAAGGGGTTGGAAAGGTTAGAGAAGTCCAGTTCAGTTCGAGGGACGAGTCCAACTACAAAGAAGGTGCTGCGTGGGGATTCTGCAAAGAATATGGGATTAGGGATTGAATTCTCAGGGCCCAAGGCATTGAGAAAGAGCTGGGAAGGAGGGAACATGGATGTAAAGGGTGGTAGAGAGAGTCCCAGGCTGAAGATTATCCAACGTGACTTGAAGCCTGAAGCTCGGAGTACTTCGGTCAGTCACTTGCTATACACCCACCCCGAAAGTACATATTAGTTACAGCCTGTTTGGGATAATTTTTGTAGTTTCAGTTCTTTTATCATATGATTACTTTCTTAAGTAAGCATTAACAGTGTTTTTATTCACTGCTAAAAGCAATTCAACATTTTCCCTGCAAAATCCATCTGTTTTTCCTAAAAAGGATTAGTTTCCGTCTGAAAACACATATTCCTGGAAAATTTGTCTACCCAAACACACTCTTAATCTTCAACATTAAATGCTTTTGATTGTTGGTCTTGGTTTACACGGAAGCATTAATTGTGAGAAGATATTTTTAATGTAAATTCCCTTTTATGCAAAATTAGGTGAGAGTGGTTACAACTTTGACATCCATGACTTAGTTGCACTGTTTTGAATCCGTTTATTTCCGTTTTTGTTGGGGATTAGTCTCTTATCTGGTACTGTATATATAGTAACTAGAGACCTTATCCTGTTTTAAATGTTCCTATGTGTTACTCGTAAGTCGTAAGTTTGTAACATATATGAGATTCCATAAACACTGAAGGAGTAGCATATAAGAATTCGGTAATGCCTTTTCATTTTTTTGTTACATCCACTCTCTATGCCTTAAAAATTATTTCTCTTCTTTTACTTTCTGCATGGTTTTTAAGAGTAATACATCAAAGTCGATGGGTGTTTTATACTTTATAGTAGCGCATAAAAAAATTAAATATGGCAGCCAGGTGCACTGAAGGAGCATTTATAACTTGGAACAGTTCATCTGAAGATGGATGGATTATAATAAAGAGATACACTAAGACCTCCATTGACTTCCCTTTGAAACCTTCCAAAAAGAGCATTCGAATTGACCCCCCCCCCCTCCCTCCCCCCAAAAGTTCTGCTTGAAGCCTAATACTATGCATATAACTTTCCTTACTGATGCAGGCTCCAAGAAAATCAACAAGTGAAAGGATGCCATCAAGGGAAGAAAACAAGGATTTTTCTTTTAAGCCGTTCTCCAAGGAGGAAAATAGAAACGCAGGTGCTAAAAAGATTTCTACCAAAGCAGATCCTGTTGAATTAGAAAGTTCTAACAAGTTAAAAACTTCTTCTGCAAAGAAGTTATGTGGGGAGGTCAATAATGGGTTTCCAGGAAATTTGGTAAAAGTTCCTATCAGTAACAGGAGATTAACAGATGCAAGTGCTTCCTGGTCTCCTCTGCCGTCTTCTCTTGTGAAGCTCGGAAAGGTACTGTCTAGGTGTTGCTACAATCTTAATTTGAACTTCATGATTCTCATTTTTGGTGTAGTGAAAACAACCTCTCTGTTTTAAAGGTGTAACATTGTGTACATGTTGATCCTCCAAACTCCAAATGAGCCGGAATTAACTGGATTCTACTGTTTCTATATTAAATAAAAATGGTGGGGTTAGTGTTGACCACATGTATAAAGATATCATTTTTGACAATAATGTTTTGCATGTCATGAGTAATGAGGTTTTCCAAAATACTGCAGGAGGTTCTGAAGCACAGAGATGCTGCTCAGATGTCGGCAATTGAGGCAATGCAAGAGGCATCGGTTGCTGAAAGTTTGCTGAGATGCCTAAGGTAACTCCCTCTTTAATATGGGACTATCAAGGATAACGAATTTCCATGTTTGGTTTTTCCAAATGAACATATAAAATCAAAACCAAGATGTACTCTGTATTCTTGAATTCTTGAGACTTCAAAATATACTTTCTTTTTTATAGTCTTCCTCCAATTTTCCTCTATACTTATTTCTTTACCAAGTTCAATAGGAAACCTTATAGTAGAATCATTATTACCAATGTGGTGGCAGCACGTATTCTGAACTGAACTCGTCAGCAAGAGAAGATAACCCACAGCCTGCTGTTGAACAGTTCTTGGCCCTACATTCTACCTTGAACAGTGCTCGCCAGGTTGCCGATGCTCTATCCAAGACCACAGCCACTGTCGCTGATCAAGAAGAAGATGAAAAGCCGGCGTGTGATGAATCAGAAAAGTTAACATCAGAGAGGAGCAAACTAGCTGCTTCTTCATGGGTCAATGCTGCTTTAGCCACCAATTTGTCACCCTTCTCCCTATACACCACAGAAACAAAGCAAGGGGCTCCAACTACCACTCCCACCCCAATCCTAGTCCTCAGCAGCCACACTGCCGCCAAAACCTCATCAGCTTCAAAGTCCCAACCCAAACCCCGCCAACCCAAGAATGCCGCTTCAGGAATGATTCCCCGGCGGCTATCTGATGTGGGCCAGAAACCAAAGCCCGCCTTGCCTCCAAGAGAATGGGCCAGAGGGTGCGGGCTTGATGAGGCGGTGGACCTGGCCCAGATGCTGCGGGCCGAGTCTCAAGACTGGTTCTTGGGATTCGTCGAGAAGTTTCTAGATGCTGACATGGACGTCTCGGCTCTGTCGGACAATGGCCAAATAGCTGGCATGCTGACTCAGCTGAAGAGCGTGAACGACTGGCTGGATGAGATTGCCAGAGTGGGAAGGGATGGAGGTGATGATGCTGAGGAAACATCTCGCGTCTCCTTGGAAACAACAGATAGGATACGAAAGAAGATATACGAGTATCTGCTTACACACGTTGAATCTGCGGCTGCTGCACTTGGTGGGGCCGGTCCGCAGCAGCCATTGACAACATCAGAAACCAAAATGAGAAGATGAATTTTTTTTCTTTTTTCCCTTTCGTTTTCATGTTTATACAATCTTTCCTTGAGTTCTTGCTTAGTTGCCCAGATAAAAGTGTGCATGAAATGTATATATATTCGTTTCTCCTTTACAAACACCTATGTTTCATAACATTCATTCTTAACTTGCCACTATACAGAAGAAACTGTGTAGGAGATGGAAGAAACTGAAAAGCAACTTTTTCCTTGTGTGATGTTGAATCATTGTTGATAAAGAAAATAGGACACATGGATATTATTATTATATCCAGTTATTGTTATTATTTTTTGACAATGTTGTGACCATATTCAAGTTTAGTCATTTAGATTTAGTTATTTAATGCGTAAGATGTAATTATTGTTTATTACAATTATCTTACCAATCACAAGGATAATAACCCTGGTTTTGCACCTGTTGATCCCAGCTAGGAACTTAAATACGGATTATATTCTATTCTATCCTTCTGTTTTTCCGTTGGAATTTAGTTGTACACAAATTTTTTATTTTTGGAGTATCCAAGATCAATTGTTAAACAGTACTTACATTGACTAAGAGCCTATTTATTAGATTTAAACTCTTAACTTCTAATTTCTTCTAGTTTTTTCTAGCTTCTTCTAGTTTTTTCCAATTTCTTCCAGTTTTTTCCACTTCTTTCCAGTTTCTTCCAACTATTCTCATTTTCTTCAAACCCTTCTACTCTCCAACTAATTACTCTAAAAATGATATATTTTAATATGATTATTATTATTATTACTATTAATATTATTATAACAACTATTATGTCCAAAAGTATAGTTTATAAATTATTTCATTTTTTCATCTCACTATTTTCGCGATTCAGACTCATTATTATTTTTTCTTCAATTTTTTAATATGAATAATAAGTACAATTTTTTGTATATTAATCTACATGATAAAATAGGAAAACATTAATATTTTAAACTATATTAAAAGATTATTATTATAATGGTTACATAGAAAAATATAAAGAGGGAAAAGAAGGTAAGAGTATTTCAAATTTGTACTCAAATTGTACATTATTTGTACTCCCTCTGACCCATTTTAAATTGCCCGTTTGCCTTTTTTCTCCGTCCCAAAATAAGTTGTCTGTTAATTGTTTTCGTAAACTTTTAAAAATAAAATGCCTAAACTATCCTTAAAATAAGTCAATCTTCTTTACTTTATCTTCTCATTCATCATCACCCCTCCTAAAAAGTAATGTCAATTTCGAAAAATCAATTATACTTTTTATTTTTATTAAATATGCCCAAAAGTCAAAACATGCGATTTAAATTGGGACGGAGGGAGTATCACAGACATACACTGAAAATAATTATGGAAAATGCTAGGGATACACCTACCCCAAATATCCCCACCCCCTCCATAACCACAAAAAAAGCAAGTAAAATTCAAAAAATAAATAAAAAATAAAAACAAAATAAAATGAATAGTGTAGAGACAAGTGATGTACATTTGGGGTACACCTTTGGTGTACCCCTAGCATCTATCAATAATTATATGTATAGTGTTTTTGAGATAGATGTGGTGTGTAAATGAATACAAAATCTATGAATAGAGATTGAACAATTAACAAAAATAAAGAGGACCAAGAGGATAAGACGCGACCAAGTGGAACTTGTTGGAAATCAACCTCCAAAGGAAAAAGCTGGTTTGTCTTTTCAAAAGTAAAATGGAGCGCAATATAATACGGGAGTAACATTGATGAATCGAACCTCAGTTGCGCCCGGCTCCGAATCCGTAAATGGAAGCTTATTATCACTTTTACTTCAAGCTTTTGTTTCTTCTCCTCACCATCATCTTTCAATCAGCTCTTTCTGAAATCATTTTTGAAGAACGCTTTGATGGTGATGACCTATAACTTTTAACTGCATTTGATTCATTTATTATCTTAAATTTGAGATTTCTTACTGTTGTTTTCCACTGATTGTCTGAGCGCATTGGTTTTTTTGGTGAATAGATCCTGGATGGAGGGACAGATGGGTTTTGTCGGATTGGAAGAGGAGGGAAGGCAAAGCGGGAACTTTCAAGCACACTGCCGGCAAGTGGCCCGGCGATCCGGACGACAAAGGTATGCCGCAGTCTTCTACTTTTTCTGCAAATTGAAGTTCATTATTAGATCATTTGAGCTCAATATCACTATGGATCGAAGGGATGTATGCTTTGGATTGCCTAATGAAATTTGTAAGAGGAGCTGCTACTTGCTAATAGCCTAATACTGTGTAGCGATTATACTGAACTTAATTTTCGCTGTGTTGTTTTGGCTGAGACAGTAGACTGTAGTGTTTGTGGGTTCAATGGTTACAGGTATCCAAACACACATTGATGCCAAGCATTTCGCCATATCTGCTAAGATTCCGGAGTTTAGCAACAAAAATAGAACCCTAGTAGTTCAGTATTCAATAAGGTTTGAACAAGACATTGAATGTGGCGGTGGGTACATTAAGCTGCTATCCGCTTACGTGAACCAAAAGAAGTTTGGGGGCGATACACCGTACAGGTTCGTGGCTTGTATTTTGGGTGTTTGAGTTGTTGTAGTGTGAAAATATTAATAAGCGTATCCTTACAATAGGAGAACATTTGGATTTAAAAGTTGTTTTTAAAAAAAGTTGAGAATAATTTTGGAAAAGTGAGAGTGATGTAATTAAAACACTTCCGTAAACTACAAATGGTAGCTGCTGACTGTGTTTCATTCTCTGGCTCTGAATGCACATCTTGAAGCAAAGTGCTGAACGCACCCTTATGTCGTCACATAGTTGATGCAGCTACCATTTGTAGTTTTGTACTACCTCATTTACTACCTATACATTGATTTTTGAAGAATTTCAACATTAAATGTATGTGGTCTTAATTGTGTCTGTGCAGTCTAATGTTTGGACCCGATCTGTGTGGCTCACAAACGAAGAAGCTCCATGCTATAGTATCCTACCAGGGGCAGAACTATCCCATTAAAAAAAATTTAGTTTGTGAGACCGACAAGTTAACTCATTTTTACACATTCATTATAAGGCCAGATGCGACATATAGTATTCTCATTGATAACCGTGAGAGAGAATCTGGAAGCCTGTACACGGACTGGGATATCCTACCTCCTCGTAAGATCAAAGACGTCCATGCAAAAAAGGTATGCCATTGTGTCTTTGATTCTCTATCTCACTTTAGCACATCATCACTTTTACATTTCTTAGGTGTAATGCTGCACAAAAATTGGCCGATAGATGCACCATAAAAATTTAAGAATCGCAGTATTGTAATACTCATTCCATCCCAAAATTAAAGTCACACTTTCTATATTTGGCGTCCCAAAATTAAAGTCACACTTCTCATATTCCCTTTTTAGGAATAGAGTATGTGGCTCACTATATTTCTCTCTTATAAACAAATTCTAAGCATTCACTTTTTACTTTTCAACACTTTTCTTAAATTCTGTGAAGTCAAAGAGCGACTTTAATTTTGGGATGGAGGGAGTTTTTTTTAAAAATGAATGTCAATCTCTATTGTTGACATGCATGTTTACTCTATCTATAGTTGTAAATAAAGATCCAGAAAAATATTATAGATGCCAACTTTCTCTTCTTGTGCAGCCTGCAGATTGGGATGACAGAGAGTATATTGATAGTCTGGATGATGAAAAACCTGAGGTATATGATTAATGGTCATCTCTTTATTATATTGTGTTTGTTAAAATGATTATCATATGCCAATAACCTTTACCTTGCTTGCAGGGATATGATAAAATCCCGCCAGAAATATCTGATCCAAAAGCGAAAAAGGTCTGCTACCTTTTTTTAACTTTTCCTTTATATTGATTCTAAAGGATCATTATTCTTACTAAAGCTTACATAAAATTTTCTTTCCACCAAGTTCTTTGCATAACGAATATCTTAAATTGTGAATCAGTGAATTAATGGGCAGTAAAACAACTTGTCTATATTTGCTTATATTTTGCTATGCCTTTTACTATTAGATGTTGGAAATAAGAGCAACTGTGGCTGCACATGATGACATTAATTAGTACTGAAATGATGAGCTCTTGCTATTGATTTTCTTTGTCTTTTCTCCAATAGCCTGCTGATTGGGATGATGAAGAGGATGGAACATGGAGACCACCCAAGGTGCCAAATCCAGAATACAAGGGGCCTTCAAAACGCAAGGTGATCTACTGATCTCTCCTTACAATGTTGGATAATCTGATTCCTCTCCAGAATTATTGTGCTCTCAAAGCTTTTCCTAACCTCTGCATTTGGTTGATATCACAGAAAATTAAGAATCCAAACTACAAGGGAAAATGGAGGACTCCGTGGATTGATAACCCTGGTGAGCCTAATGTTGTTGTACGGACTTTAATTTCTCATTACTTCAGGTGCATAACTGTTGATACTAGAAACTTCGGAGTTGTAATCCATTGGTTACTACTAAACAGATCACGAATATTATGAAGTATATGCAGTATGTTCTAAGAGAAGAATACATTATGCTGTTTAAATGTTCTAACTAATATTCTTTATTGAGTAATTTATGATTATCTCTGCAATGGTCTAATAACCAAAAAATGATTGGAATGGTGGCTTATTGGTTAAACTGAGAACAAGTGTTCTTGCTACCTAATATGACAATTGTAAATGTATTCTTCTCTGCAGAGTTTGAGGATGATCCTGACCTATATGTGTTAAAGCCTGTAAAATATGTCGGCATTGAAGTTTGGCAAGTAAGATATGCAACATTACTGGAAGAATTTTGCGTCAAGATTTCAATTGTGTTATAGGCTTTATGTTCCTAAGTCATCCACACAACCATGTGTCTCCATCTCTCCTACTCCATTTTTTCTCTCTGTTGATATTTGATGCCAATCTGATTTTTTTCTTTTTTTCTCCGCATCTGCTATATTGCTTGATCTGCAATCGCAAAAGCTCTAATCTATGTTGCCATCATAAATAGGTAAAAGCTGGCTCGCTGTTCGATAATATTCTGATATGCGATGACCCACAGTATGCGAAAGAAGTAGTTAATGAAATATGGGCAAAAAATAGGGAGGTGAGAAACATCTATAAAGATTCTTTTATTGACCCAATAGAGACACCTGATTTGTTTTTGTTTAATGTTGATACTTCACAGGCTGAAATGGAGGCATTTGAGGAAGCAGAGAAAATGAGAAAGGCTCAAGAAGAAGAGGTAGCAAAACCATCCGAATATTTTTCATAAATTTTTTCTTTCAGTCCTTGAACGTCAAATTTCTGAGCAATATTGTTTTGAGATTATCTAAAGAATTAAGTACGCAGGAAGCGCGACGAGCCAGGGAAGAGGGTGAGAAGAGGAGAAAAGAGAGGGACCTTCGCTACAAGCGCCGGAGAAGGGTATCTTTCTTACTTTCTACTTCCCCCGTCCCATATCTTTCTTCTAGTTCCTTTTTTTGGGCGGTCTCATATCTTTCTTCATCTTTCCTTATTTGGCAAAAAAATAACAACAATGTGACTTTTTTGCCCTCAACCCACTACCCATTACTGCCTCATAGAACTTTTCACCTTCTTTACATTTCTCTTTAATTATCTTACATTTAAGAACAACCATTTCTCTGATTGCTCTGCAATGCTTCTTCATATTTCCTTATTTTTATGATTGTATCTAATATTATAATAATGTACAAATACCTGATCCATTAAAATATTGTATGAGAGTATTTAATCCAGTGGTTTGTTCAAAATATTACTCTGAATTATTCTTGATTTGGACTGAGTCCAGCAGTGTCCATATATGAGCATCATTTGACAATTTTTTGTGGTGCTAGTGCTTTTGATTTTTACCTATCTTAGTTTGAAATTTCAAATATTATCTTCAAGTTGCAATATACTCTGTAGTATGGAGCATTTGAAAGGTTACCCAGAAATAAATCAGCTTTCTTTTCTTTCTTTTTCTGAACCTGCTCTAATCCAAAGTTGTTTTTTAGCTGTTTTAAGTAGTTGGCGATTTATAGACTTGGATATATTATACTTTGTGTAAGAACTAAGGTTTGTAGAGTGTAACAGTGCATTCTGGTTACTCTTCCTACATTCAATGTAGAGCTAGGCAATATTGATGCACTGTGAATGTTTTTTCTTAGTTCATGCATGCATTTCTTCTCAATACTTTTGATTTCAGAGCAGCATGTAGGAAGTTACCTTCATAGTTTTTTTGGTGTTATTTAAATCCCTTTCGATATCTGTAATTGGTTTACACTTTTTGCGCATCTCTTACATGAAGTATTTGATTATTCTAACTTGCCTCTCTAGTCTCTACCTTTAGGGGTAGGGGTAATGTATGTGTACGTACACTCAGCCTCCCAAGGTACTGTTTTGTTTAAGCACCTTGTTAATCTGTGCAGTGTGGGTGATGTACTGATGTTCATAATCACATAAATTACATATACCGCCCCTTAGTTTTGGTCAATTACTAAATGACCATTGGGACTTCTAAAAATTACAAATAAGTTCCTTGATTAGTTAGATCTACACAGAAGAGAATATAGTGGTATTGACAAGAATTGTGTCTTGATTTTGAATTTGGTGTATTTAACGCATTTTATCAATCAAGATATTTCAATCTCTCTCTCTCTAAAAAAAACTCTTGGCATATATTGAGTTGTAAATTTATCCGAAATAACTCACTTCATACTAGAATCATTATATGCTGCTCCGTAGTATGTAGATTAAAAAAACAAAGTTATATGCTAGTATGATATTGACTGGTTGAGGTTCATGTTTGTAACTTCTAGAAATGTTGAGTGTAATTTGGTAATCTGATCAAACCTCAGAGATGTAGATAGAATGAACCCTAATTACATTCATCTGAAACCGAATTTATGATATCATGTTTCTGATACTTCCCTCTTTATCCTGCAGCATGATCGCCATGACTACATGGATGACTACCATGTAAGTAGTAGACTATAGTCACCATACTCTACACTTAGTTGTAATCTCAAATCTGAGCTAATTATTGTCTACAAAATGTTCCTAAAAAGAGGCCTAACATTATTTTGTCGCGCTTCTCACCTTCAACGAGTACACTTGTTACACTTTATTCATAATGCAAGTTTTTTCCCGTCATCTGCAGGATGAACTATGAGGGTGTCATCAACCGCTCTAAAAATCAGATATTCTTCGTGAGTCAGTATCTCCTAACTTCACTCACACCTTTGATTCTCGTCTTTTTTCTTCTTTCGAGAAGGGCTACATATTTGTTGTTGTTGTTGTAACATGAAGAATGTACAATTGAGCTTTGATTTTGTACCTGTTATAGTGAAAAGCACCTTGATTGTCTATTGTTGAGAACATTATATTCAACCGTTCGCCCAAGATCATTATGAAGTTAAGTGGGGATGTAGGTAGGGTTCTCTAGCATGACTCTCCTTACTATTTCAGTTGTGTTTATCGTGAATTGAATTAAAATGTTACTCCGTATTGTTTATTTATATTTTAGTTGTGAGTAAATTAGTGGCCGTGTTTAAATGGTACGTAGTACACAGGAGAAAAGTTACAAATTTAACGATAAAAATTGAAAGTAGCATCGTCATTTTTGGATTTTTACCTTTGTAAGGACTCGCATTTGCAAAGGCTGTATTAATGAGATAATATTTGTAATAATTTAATGTTTTAAATATTAAGGTTTGATTTGATATAATCTGGTTTGAGTTAATTATAATTATATTTAAAATTGTTTCTAATTTATTAATTGTAAAATGATCTGATGTAATTGTAATAAAAATAAGTAATACGAAGTCGTAAGTAATACTCCCTCCGTCCGGATTATATGTTCCCAGTTTGACTTTTGGTCATTTTTAGTGAGTGTTGACTAATGAGTTAGATTGCCCAAAATACCCCTGCCCTCACACCAAAATATCTCAGCAACCCTCAACACCACAACCACCCCAATCCCCATCCCCACCGCCCCAACCGTCGCCCAACCCCCACCACTGCCCAACCGTCGCCCAACCCCCACCACCGCCCCAACCGCCGCCGGAGCTTTCTGAGGAAACAGATCTGGAGGTGCAAATCGCCATCGCCGTCAGCTCCACTCGCCACCATCGCCACTGCCGACACCATCGCCGGCAACCCCGCACAAATGGATCTCTAAATTTTTAGATCAGAAAAAAAAACGAGATCCAACTCTAATAGAAGAAGAAAATGACAAAAAGAAGGCTAGATCTAGCAAGAAAAGAATGGAAAGAAGAAGAAGGAAGAGGGGGAAGAAGATGACGAGGAGAAGAAAAGGAAGGGGAGAGGAAGAGAGAGAGAAAGAGTGGAAGAAGGAGGAGGAAGGAAGAGGAAGACAGAGAAAGGAGACGGGAAAGGAAGAGGAAAGGGGGAGGGAAGAGAGAGAAAATACATGTGTGGTGCTGTGTAGGATGGCAGGCCGAGAATGACGAGAACGGATGAGGGAGGGGTAATTTTAGAAAATTGAGTATGAAAACGTAGACTGGGAACTTTATTTCCGGACGGAAAAAAGCGTAGACTGGGAACTTAAAATCCGGACGGAGGGAGTAACAAATTTTGTTTACTGCTTGAATATGCTTGTTCTATACTCCTTTGTTGGCAGTTGGATTTCTATCACTCCCTATGTTCCATTAACCTTCACATTTTATTTTTGTTCTTGGTCAAAGTTTGTATGGATTGACCTCGATATATTCAATATAAATGTAATATAAATATTTTTTTTGAAATACACTTTTGAGATATTAAATTTTTATTAAATATACCTATGTACAAATATCGACAATAATTTTCAAATAAGTACTTATACCATATATTATGATGCACATTATTTTTGTACATCTGCATGAATATTCATTTTTGAGTAACAAAATACAGAGTATTTATTTTCGAATAATTGAATATACATTTTGAGTAACTGAATACTTATTTTTGAGTATAACTAATTTATTGAGAAATTAGTATTCAGTTACTCAAAAATGAATATTCAGTTATTCGAAAATGGATATGTTTATAGAAAGCATCGTACAACCAATTTTACGACATATATTGCGTGGTTAAAGTGAGCTATATTAAAAACCAATAAAAATCAAATAGAAATATTAAAGTAGAATAGATGGAATACTAATTACGAAGTACTCTCCCTATCATAATTTAAGTTACGGAGTACATATTTACTGTTTACATGGTCAATTTTTTAACCACTTTCATTACTCATTTTATACTCACATTTGATAAAATAACATACTCATGTCATTTCTTGTTTCATAGAATTTTAAGTTTAGTTCATAAATATTTTGTATGCAAATTTATTTTTAAATTTACATTGATTTTCATATAAAATAAATTGAAAATAATTTTAGTAATAAAAGGATGATTTAAACTTGGATCCAAAGTACATTTTTCTAGGGTTGCGTTCTGTTTATTTTTCTACTTATTAATTATTTTTATTATAATCAAATTAAAAAATAACTTTAATTATAATTATAATCAAATCAGTCCAAAAAAACTTAGGTGACCCGTTCAAAAAAATTTGGATCATATCACATGGCAAATGGAACGCGGCCCAAACCCCCTTTCTATAGTTTGCGCCGGAGAGAAGAAAACCCCGAAATGGAGTGGGCGATAGCCGCCGCGAATAAGGCGGCGAGCAGCAACACGGTGGTGAACGCATTTCTATTGAGCATTTTCGGGGCGCTGAGCGCAAGGTCGTTCAAGCAGCAGAGGAATATCGAGGCGTTGGAGGCGGAGAAGAACTCTCTGGTTGAATCCAACAAGAGCATGAGGAAGACGATGTGGGACTGGAAGCAACAGCTCTACGCGGAGGCCGAGTCTCTTTCCTCTCACGCGCTCGTTCCCCTCTCCAAGCTCAAAGCCATCTATGGCGATCAGGAATCCGCCTCTCCCCCTCTCGCCCGTTCTTCCAGTAAGTTATCAATTGCATAATTTTTTTACTCATGTTACCTGTTAATTCCAATTAATACTCTGTATATAATCCAGGATTGAAAATTATCTTTTAGGGGATACCTAGACTTTCACTGCCTGTTAAAACACCCTGTATTATTTCTGTATATCTGCTAGATCTTTAGTCAAACAAAATTTTCTCTTAGTTAGTTTTTTTGTTTAGGATAAACCAAGTGATAATGATGAAAAATGTTTTTTTTGGGGGCAAAGTTGATGAAATGAATGAAATTGATGAGTGATTTGCTTTTATTTTCACACATTATTCTTTATTTATACAATAGTTTTTAGCTATACCTTTGAAAGATCGAAAACTTCACCAACTTCAACCACAGTTTCATCTTCGTTTCTGTCAAATTCACTCATATCGGACGGGTTCTCAAGAAGAATGTACTCTCTGTCCGGATCATTTACTTCACTTTCTCATCTTGAGACGTTCAGAATTATTTGTCTAATGTCAATGTTTGGTTAACAAATTGTTAGGAATTATGAAATATCTCTTGAAAAGTATATTAGCATTGTTATCATCAATGAAGGATCCCTAGTATATTTGCCACTTCCAAAATAAACATTTAATTTCTTTCAAGGAAAGTATCAAATTGTTCCCTTGGTTTTTCTCTTATGTGCATAAATCTGAACTACACAATTTCACATTTTCTTAAATTTGGTGAAAAAACAAATGAGAAGTTTAATTTGGGACAAAGGTCGTATATGCAAGTGAATGTGTGAATAAATGATAAGGTCTAATAAATTATTCTAGCTCATTTTTTATGCTCAGCCCACTTTTATAACACTATTTTTTACAAGAACTTATAACTGATTCTACTTATTTATTTATTGTATAAACTTTGTGTCAATGTTACTATAATTTGGGCGTGCTTGGACTAAACATGCCGTATCCTCTTTTTAGAAAAACGAAAAAAAAATAAAATATACTCTCTTTGAAATTAGTCAATGCAAATTTCGGTGCTCATAAAAAACATCCGCTCTATGTTTTGAAAATAGGGGTCAGACTTTGTACATCTTACCCCCTTACCCCGCAACGGGTGGGAGCCTTTGAGGCACTGCGGTAATGTTGTTGTGAAATATGGCCGAAATGCTTAGCAACTATTGCACCAACAGTAATTTGATATTTGCTCCAAATATTACACCCTTTGCAAGTATATGAAATTAGATTCAGTTTAATATTCTTTGGGGAATGATTTTATCAGTTTTGCTATATCTGGACCCCACAAAAGGGAAATTTTTTATGAAAATGGTTTCCTTGGTTTTACTTGGGAAGTATGGTGGAAAACCAAATGTGAATAAAGAAATGGTCAAATTTACCACGTAGTATATATTTATATTTCTCGGTTAGTATTTACCCAGAGCAGTTGAGAAAAGTTCTACCGGAGTATTAAACTAACAGTTGCAACAAATATGTAATAATTATTTACCAGGTTTGAACCTTTTTTTCATCCTGTTTCATTTCATCCACTTAAGATTATTCTGTGTTACTGCAGATGGAAAATCCGAGGGAAGTGGAAAAACACCAGGTTCAAGATTTATAATCTGAAGGTATTTTTGTTAGTGAAGAGCTGTGCAGAGTATCATGGATCTGTCGCGTATCAATGATTTTTCATTGCATCAATAACTTAGCTCCACGGGCTTATGCAGCAAGTAAAAGTTTTCTCCTAAAGGGAAGTATTGTGTGTGGGGTGGAATTCAAATTGCGTAACGATGAAGGAAATGAGAATGGATATAGTTGCATTTGGAAAACCCCCAAATTCACTCCATTTTTATTTCCCTCTTTTGTTGAATCTCTATATTCATCTTTCATGCACTGTGAGACTTTGAGTACTATGAGTCTATGATGAATTGATGATAGGTCTTACATTACATTCTGACCTTAAAGCTATGATGCTAAGTAAGGTTGGAGTACATTTATGTTTTTTTGACTAATTAAATGGTTATTACCCACAAAACCAAAAAAACTCTGTTATGTCAAAATTCATTCATAAAGTGCATAGTGCTTGTCCAGCTCTTTACAAAAGAGAAATTAAATGAGTAGTTATGGTTTCAGTTCATTGCTGAAGATTGAAGTCATCTTTGTCATCATATATATGTGTGTGTGAATTGACCTATGGTGTGTGTGTCACTTTCAGTTACTTGGTGAATTTCTTTTTACGGTATGAGTTTTGATGTTTAAGATATCAAATTTTGAAGTTAAATATCTGATAAAAACAAAGAGAAATTAAAAAGTGAAATACGAATTAGAAAAAAAACTCTTCGAGACTAAATAGTACAGTAAATATTTAAAAAAAATTATCAAACTGACCAGTAATAGAATATTAACAATTATTTTAACACTATTTTTGCTAAAGATCTTAGGGTATAAAGACATTATATGGTGAATCTCTCAAATCAAAAGGCACATGCTTGAACTTAGAGGAGCAATAACCTAAGAGGTGGCTTAACTTTGTAGCCCAAGTTATACACAATCATAGACACATACCGATAACTATTATTTATGTGTGTACAAACAATAATTATTTATGCGCGTCTGTGATATGCATGTGTGTCACTTTGGATATGAATGAGTGTCTGACTTTTTTAATATTTTATCAAGACACTAGTGCCAACCATTACAAAGTACAAACCCCTTACTAAGGTGTCTTTAGCATTGTTTGGAAAGACCGTTTTCAATTAGCGTTAGTATTTTGAAAAAAAATTTAATGGTACAAATTAATTCTAAAAATACTAATGCTAAATGCTACCATTAGATAACCTTTTTCAAAATTATAACGCGGAGATTCTGATGTCAAACGAGACTTTTTACTTATTTTTGCTTATCCATATAAAGGGAAAAAGAAGGAAGAGAAAACCTTTCCAAGTACGGAACTAAAATGAATCGGTTGGGATCTGCTGCTTACACGCCCCGCCCATGCGGTTAGGGGTGTAAACGGATAATATCCGTTTCGAATGTATTAAAACCGTATCCGAATCCGATTAGCAAAACCGTTATCCGAATCCGATGGAGCATCCGACTAGTAAAAAAT